AGGGTGAGGCAAGCAGGGCGCCGTCGACTCCGCCTGGCTGTCCTTTGCACTTCTGGCCTGGACGGACTCGCCGGGTGCGAGACGGACGGAGGCGCTCAGAGCGCTCCCAGCAGCCCCGGAGACAGGAGCCTTCCTGCAGCATCTGCCCAGACGCCACGTGGGCCCTCAGCCCTGCCCCCGCCGCCCGGAGCACACGTCCTCCTCCGCCACAGCAAGGGACAGCGATGCCCGAAGGGACCCCGAACCTGCGGACAACCCTTGTGCCCCCCGTGTGCCCCCCGAGTGCCGCCACACACTGCCCTGCAGAGGCTCACAGACCCCAAACCCAGTCACAGGGACAATCAGTTTCCTTTGGCAAGACAGAGATGGAGAAACACACACACGAGCCACGGTTTCCTTCTAACATAATCATCTCCTCGCCCCACCCACCCCCCGAACCCTATAAACTGTAACCTATAACCAGGATCTCAGTACATACAGCATCAATCATGTTCATCAGTCATAATAAACATCAGTTAACTAAATGCTACAGCTAGAACTGTTTCCACTATTTATAAAGTTTTTTCTTTTTATTTATTCATTTGGTTTTTAGTTCAAAACCAGTTCTGCAACAATGCTGAACTACGCGAGGTATGTTACGGGGTGCCGGGCTGCTGCTCCCCTCCAGCACTGCCCTCACGGGTCCAGGTGTCGCCCTCACAGGGAGCAGGGAGGGTGGCAGGGGTCCCGGGTCCAGACTCCCACGGCTGCACCCACGTGCCCGCATCTGGCCAAGGCCGAGAGCGGCGGGCAGGACAGGCGGCTGGGGACGGGCGGCGGCAGCTGGACCGCGTGGACATCGCCTCAGCAACAGCCTCCGAGAGGAGCCTCCCGACCGCTGCCTGGGTCTCAGGTCTCAGCACCGCGGGGAGCACGAACGAGGCGGAACAGGAGGCACCAGCCCAGGAGGACCACGGTCCCCGCCCGCTGTCCGAGTCCACGCGAGTGTGCGCCCTGCAAGGCTGCCCTCGCTCCCTGATGGCCCAGGAGGGTCTCTTCCTTCTCGGAAGTGAAGGTTAATGCTGAGGAAGAATTCCCATTTTATACAGTGTTGTCCTCACAATGTCGTAAGGCTGAGAATGACTACACAATGGCCAGCTAGCACCCCACGAACAATGCCGTGCTCGCACGCACACACCTGAACTCGTGACGCGATGTTCAAACTCACCCGCCTGCTCTTTCCCATCTGAACCGCTTTGCATTCCAGGTCTTTGGTCTTTCAAGGTTTCAGCTCTAATGAACACGGCTGGGAGACAGAGCTCCACTTCGCCCGCTCTCGGTACCGACGTAGCGAGAAGCGGAGGTGCCCCGCGGGCACTGGGCGGCCCCCACCATGGCCCCGTGTTCCCACTGGCTGCCCCGGCCGCCGCCCTCTCCTGCCAACACTTCTCCCTTGTCTTCCTAGCACAACGATCTTACTTCCTCTTGGTAAGGAAAGTCCGGGAGGGGGCGGGGCCTGAGAGCCTCGGACCACGGCCTCCATGAGCTTCTGCAAGCCACAGGTCACCACACACCAACTGCGCTGTTCACATCAGCACCCACTCCTGTGAAAGTCCACGCTGACTCCCCCGTTTGCAAACATAGCCAGCTTCCCCAGCAGTTTAAACAGGAACTTCAAGGTTAGAGTGGGCGGAATTCAAACACCTGCCAAGCGAAGGCCTGTGCTCTGGGGATGGAGACGGGCACCCACCTCTGCAGCCAGTGAAGGGCAACAGGACAAAGCAACATCAAAAAGAGGTATCATCGCGCTTCCCCAGCGATGGCGGGGCGGAGCGGTGAGCTCCCTCGCTGCGCACCCCACACACGCCGCTGCCCCAGCGTGCGCCCTGAAGCAGAGCCACGCCGCGGCCGGCCCGCGCTCCAACCCTCCGGTGACAAGCTGCGTGAGCGGGGATGGTGCTCATGTTTCTTATCGAATAATAAAGGAAGCGTGTGTGACATCACATGATTGGATGTGGACAAATCCAAAGAGCTGTAGAGATACCTGCAGGAACACCTGAACTCACACAGCACTCCACCCGCCGTCTTCTGAGCCAGGGACAGTGCAGGGCTCACAGCCAGGCGGCACGGCCTGGCCAGGCAGGGCTCAGACAGCCCGCCCCCCGGGAGGCCAGTGCCAGGGAGAGCCCACCACAGGGGCACCAGAGCTAGTCTTTGGTCCGATGTGTTAACCAAATGCAGGGATGGAGAAAACCTGCATAAACATGAGGGAAGACGACGACGCACACATGCGCTGTGATGACCTGCCTGGCCTTCCTCTTAGAAATGCAGGGACTCTACCCAACACCTCCTTTTGGTCAGATGCCCCCTAAACTCCAGACTCCCACAGAAGGCGTCGAAGAGCTATGTCTAAGTACCCAGCTTCAGAGACCACTCCCGCGGAGGACACAGGGCAAGGACGAGGGCCGCACCAGGAGCTGTGCGTCGCGAGCGCCCACGCAGGGTCCGAGCTACCAGCTGTTTTAGTGTCTCGTGTGCACGTGTACACGTGCACCTTTCATTTCACACTGTTTCTTAAATACTAGGGAAAAAAATTAAGTTACCTTTGTCTAAGGATTTCTTTCATTTAAATACAGGTTTTATGCTGGTTTAAGGTTTATCCTCAAAGTGATCCTCAGGCAGGACCCTCACCCCACACCGACTGGAGAGCACGGCGAGTGACCACCATGCTGACACTTAGAGCTTAGTCTCCTTTCGAACATCAGTCTGTGGGTGAATCTCACCTGGGAGGGGAGTCACTGTAGCACATGGGTGAACACAGACACAGCCTGCGCTGCCCTCTCTGACCCAATGGGCTTCAGCCCCTTGGGGCGTGACTCTTCCTTTGGTAGCAATTTGGGGCAATAAGGCTACAACCTCTAATCCAGGGTGGTGGGCCTCAGCACCCCCTCCCTGGAGCCTGCCTCTGCACCCCCCACTCCCAAGGGCAGGACTGTCACCAGGGCAGCTGCAGTATTGCTGACAGTCCTAAAACCATTTGCGCAGACTCAAATTAGAGATGTTAAGCCAGGATAAAAGATGAAATGTAACTACATCAGAGGAACAGCGGGCGGAGAGAGAAAAGTTAGTCACCGACACTGCCCTTCTATTTACACACCATACTAAATAAACTAGTTAAAAATCAAGTCATGTCTGCCCAGAGGATAGTACAGTTACCAACATAAAAGGTTAAAGCAGCAGCAACTTGTACAAACATCAACAAAGACAGTGAGAGAGAAGTCGTCAGTAGCATCCAGCTCCGCAGAGCCTGAGCCGCACGGTACAAGCGAGTCCATCGGTACAGCAGCTGAACATTGACTTTGGTTCAAGCTTAGTTAAAAAAACACAACATAAAAACAACCACACACAAGAGGCGGTGGACACTGTCAGTTTCCCTGCTTGCAGTCACAGGTGCGGGGCTTCGGGGAAGGCCAGGGGAGAAGAGGGCACTTGGGGGAACGCAACACTTCGAGATAAAACAGGAAGACAGAGGAACAACATGACCGACGAGGGGTGACAATGTTTCTGACCCGTGATGTCACGAGCCCCCCAGGCGCTTGGCGGGACAGGAGCACACAGATCTGAGCTCCTCCCACAGGCAAGCGACGAAAGGGGAGCAGCCGGTGAGCCCACAGCCGCAGCTGAAAGGGGCAGCGCGAGCTGGCCAGCGAGGTCGGGGGGCACCGCGGACAGCGCCCACCTCCCTGCAGCGGTGGCAGGAGCTCACTGCGGCAGGAGACCTGGGGGCCACAGACACTGCAGGGAGGGGCACGGACGGAGAGGGCACCTGATTTCCCAGTCGCCCGCCCCTCTCCAGCTGCCTCACGAACTCGTCCTCTCCTTGGCTCGCTTACAGGCCAGACACACCTGCAGCAGAGCCAGAGGCCTGCCACCCCTCGCAACAGGCGCTATTGCCACAGACCCGCCTCGCAGGCGACGCCGAGCGAGGTCGGTGCGGGTCCCTGCTCAGCCCCTCAGAGGCTCTGCGGACCCGCGCAGCTGGCGCGCCTGCTCCCGCCAAGGGCAAGGCGGTCTCAGGGTGCCCGGCCATCAGCCTCCTGGGAAGGGACAGCTGTGGCCAGAGGCGGCAGCGTGGCCCAGACTCTGCTCACACATCTGTGGGTGTCAATCAGCAACGGAAACAGTCTGGGAGAACTCCCGTACAGAGCAAGGAGGGACGCGTCCCCACCCCAAGTCCATTTGTTCTTTGCCCAGTAAGTTAAAGGAAGTTCGGATGAAACCCTCCCACACAATGGAACGAACAGACACACAGCGACAATAGGAGCATTTCTCAGGAGACGAGAGTCAGGGGAGCCGCCCGGTCAGGGGCCTGCAGTAGTCTTTGCTCTGGGAGCCCCGCCCGCTGCAGCGGCCTGGGGGGCGGAGCAGCGCTGGGGGCCGGGACCGCCCAGGTCACTCAGGGTCGGAGTGGGAGCCGCAGTCCAATGGGAACTCCTTCCTGCACCCAGCACTGCGAAGGCACCCCGTGGGCGTGGGGGAGGAGCAGCTGCAGCCACCCTCCCTGGCCTTCTGCACGGAGCCCGGCGTGCGGGCAGGAAGCGATGCTCTGGACCCGCGAGCGTCCAGGCAGCGGGCAGGAAGCAGCGAGCACATCCGCAGGTGAGAACGCAGCTCCCCGCCCGCCCGCCCTCCCCAGTGTGGGAGCTCACTGAACCAGGATCCAGGAGCGAGACAAACATGTCCAACCATATATATAAAACAATGACAGCAATAATCACAGAGATACAGTAACACGGGCCCGCCTCAATTGTACCAGTTAAGAAAGGAACCCCCAACACAATTGATATGATTATAAACACCTTGTTATGACTTCTTGGCCTGTACAACAGGCCCATAAAAATGATTTTTTTTTAAGAAAAAAAAAGTTTAGACAAACAAGAAACCCCTTCCTATGTTAAAGTTGTGACCCACCTTGACTGTCGTCCTGGAAATGAGAAGTAGTCCTTTCACTTATTTTTTTGTTTTTGATTTTTTGTTTCTGCTTTTTTTTTTTTAATTTTTGGTTAGAAAGTTCTCCAATCCATGAAGCAATCCTGAAGAAACAGTTTTATTACAAAATTAGGCAAATGTCGTCTGGTTTCATCCTTTCCTCCCAGTGCCCGTCCTTCCTGCTCTCGACGTCCACGGGCCGGGGAGCCACCGCACCCCGGTCGCAGCCCGACGTGCACGCGGAAGGGCTGGCGGCGCCGCTCACTGTGCCTTGGAGGCGGTGGTGGTGGTGGACGCCGCCCCGCTGGCTGAGGCCGCTGTGAAGAGAGAGTTCTGGATGGACTCGGCGGAGGTGGAGGCGGCGTGAAGGCTGGCGACAGGCCCTGAGTTCCCTGCGGTGGCTGCGGCGGCAGAGACCAGGCTGACCGGGTTGCTGGTGAGCAGAGAGAGGTTCTGGGGGCTCAGGAACAGAGGGGCAGTCACGATGTTGGGGGCTCCGCCCGCGTTGGCGAAGACCAGGTTCCCAGTTGCATCCAGTGACGTCAGTGGAAGAGAGCCGCCGGAAGCGAGAGCTGCGGACAAGCCCCAACGGGCGAGGAGGGTTATTCCGGTCTGGGGAGGTGGGGGCCACCGAACCCCAGCTCTCCCAAGACCACTGCACGCAGCCCTTGCTGACGTTCCTCCTGGGCAGAGTCCCTGTCACCACCTCACGTTCTGTGCAAATTCTGAGGCAGCCAAAGGGCCGAAGGAGCTAATGCGCGTGACCAGGACCAAGAAGGGATGAGGCCTGTCTAACCATCAGTCACGCTCTGAGAGCTCGGCCTGGTTTCCATACCTACCAGAAGCACCTGGTAAACGCAGTGACTGTGTAATGCAGACCGTGACCTCATGCTCCCCCTTCCAGTGCCCCTAGTCCAGTGTTTGCAGCACCGCGCACAGCCGGCCCCGTCGGCCCCCAGCACCGCGCACAGCCGGCCCCGTCGGCCCCCAGCACCGCGCACAGCCGGCCCCGTCGGCCCCCAGCACCGCGCACAGCCGGCCCCGTCGGCCCCCAGCACCGCGCACAGCCGGCCCCGTCGGCCCCCAGCACCGCGCACAGCTGGCCCCGTCGGCCCCCAGCACCGCGCACAGTCGGCCCCCCAGCACCGTGCACAGCTGGCCCCATCGGCCCCCAGCACTGTGCACAGTCGGCCCCCCAGCACCGCGCACAGTCGGCCCCCCAGCACCGTGCACAGTCGGCCCTATCAATCACCAACACCGTGAGAGATCTGAGCACCTCACAGTTGATACATTAGATGAAAAGCTATCTTTTTCAAAAGTGTCTAAAATAAATTACAGTATATGTCACCAACTACAGTGTAAGGTGTGACCAAGCTGTCTCTTTCAGAGGCAACCTGAGTCCCTGACTGGTCGGGGGTGCAGAGGTGTCATAGGAGGAAGCAGAGACGGGGATGTGACGGCCGAGGTGGCATCACAGGTCAGGATTCGCCCTGATGCACGAGCATTTTCTGTGATAAAAGAAGGCATCAGCGAGATTTCTTTAAAATAATTGGGCGAGCCCTGGCCGGTTTGGCTCAGCGGTTAGAGCGTCGACCTGCGGTCCGAAGAGACCCGGGTTCGGTTCCCGCTAAGGGCGCGTACTTCGGTTGCAGTTTGTCCCCGGCCCTGGTTGGTCATGTGGTGGCAGCCACTCGATGTGTCCCTTTCACGTCGATGTTTCTCTCTCTCTCTCTCTCTGTTCCTCTCTCTCCCTCCCACTCTACCTGAACAAAAAAATGAGAAAATGTCCTCGGGTGAGGATAAAAAATAAAATAAAATAAAATAAAATAATTGGGCGATCTCTTTATTAAATGTTCCTGTTATCTGACAACCCCCCAATATCTCCCTGGCCCATGACACCACACCCCCCACATGTAGACGTGAAGGTCTCTCTAGGTGTGGAATTCGGCAACTTCACTGGCGGGACTGGGGCGGCCTGGCCCTTCCTGAGCTCCCAGACCCAGGGCCACGAAGGGCCCAGGTCTCCAGGGAGCCCTGGGCTGCACCCCACCTGGGCAGCATTCTGCCCTGGAGCAGCGCCACGGCCCGGGCGCCCACTGCACGAGCGCGGCCCCCACAAGCCTATTCCGAAAGCGAGCCGTGGCTGACAGGATCCCCCCCCCCCCCGATTCAGCACAATGCGACCTCACGTGAGGTCGAACGGCCTAGCTCGTCCGGGACTCATCGACGACCGTGTCTCCTGCAGAGCATAAGCTGTCGAAATATCATCCACACAACACTGACTTTTATTGAGGTTAGTTGGCAGCTTATTCTTGGCTCCAAGAACTCTCACTTAAGTACAAACTATTTTAATTTTAAGAAAAAAAAATTCCCTGATTAATGTAAGGCTGTCTCTCTGACTGTCATCCTGAGTCAGCACCTTCAGACACCAGCCCAGAGGCACACCCGTTGGCACGCCTGGAGACTGGGTCGCACGCTAAGGCCAAAGGGGACCCTGGGCTTGGGCGAGATGTCACAGCCGAGGGCACCCATGCTCTGTGGTGACGGGCACGGAGGGCAGGCCTAGCACGAGGTGACAGTGCTCTCGAAGTCATGCCAGGACCTTTTCCGCTGTGGCTCTTGGGTTCCGACGGGGAGGTGTTTCACTTGGTCAGAGCTGCCTCAGAGGGGTCTCGGGGGACTTCTCAGATAACCTTTTCGGGGAAACTCTGCCCCGAGTCTATTCCCATAAGATGGACATCACACAACAGTCCTGGTCCCTACAGCACACCAAACTGGCACACCGCTGTTCCACCACATGAACTAACACCTGCGCTGCTCCGCAAGGCCTTTTTCCAAGAACGTCTGCTTGGTCCTCGTCAGTCACATTATCAGTTCGACTCTCCCGACCACCCTGACCTCTGGCAGAGGAGACCACCTCCATTAAAACAAAGAGGTGAGGAAGGAACCAGCGCTACCGACCTTGGATCGTCGCCAGCGTGCTGTTGCTCATCAGAGCTGGGCTGAGAGCGCCGCCCAGGGTCCCGGGGTTCAGGCTGAGTAAGGCACCTCTGCAAGAGAAGACAGACAGCCTGTGAGCAGGCATGGCGCCCAGAGGAGGAGGGCACAGGCCGGGAGCAGGTGCGCACACCCGCCGCCGTGGCCTCGCTGTGCCGGCAGCGCCCAGGCTGCTTCCCTGAAGCCCCGCGCGGCGAACAGGACCTCGATCCGCCCAGCGCCCAGGGCGCAGTCTTGCTGGCTCTTCTTTGCGTTAGCTCATGCTCTGTTTTCAAAAGAAGACACCAGGGGAAGGAATATATTTAGAGAGTGGTTCTCACATGTATGCTGGTACACAATTGGGACCTTTACTGCTACATCTCCTGTGAGTGTGAGAATCAGAAAGCGGTCAGCGGAGAGGTCAGCAGGAAGGTAGGGACGGCGTCAGGAGCAGTGGGCCCCTGGCCCACCCCCAGGCGTGGTCAGTGCCTGCTGCTCGGAGCACCTGGAAGGAGGATGACCACTGCCCTCCCAGGCTGTGCAGACATGGCACCCACACCACCAAGGCCCCGAGCCGCACAGCCCACTTCAAGGAGACGGCTCAGAGCGCCTCCTGGAGGCGCGAGCCCGACATGACCTCCCCGGGGTCTCTGGTCGGAACAGACGAGAAAGCCCTTACCCAGCTGCGAACTGAGACGGCGCCATCAGGCCTGGGCTCAGCCCTGCAGCGGCTGCCATGGCAGCGAGACTGGCGTTCGCCGGCAGCTGCGTAGCTCCCTGAAGGGCGGCCGCTGCCGTCTGCAGCCCCGACGCCGTCACCACCACCTGGCTGGTGCCGAGAGGAGAGGGCAGAGGGGTGGAGGTGGTCTGTGCTGTGCTGGTCTCGCTGGCACTCGAGGCCTCGGACGTGGAGGCTGAGGCAGACGGGGAGGGGCTCAGAGCGGGGGAGGTGACGGCGGAGGCAGCCGGGGGCGCGGTGGAGATCACGGTCGCGGTGTGGTTGGAGGCGGTCTCCGTGGTGCCTAGAAAGAGGGTCGGGTCAGGAAGGAGCCCGAGCGGGCTCTGCGGAAGTGGCGGCCCCTTCAGCCGCACTCCAGAGCCCACTGACGGACGTCTGCCAGCCAGTCACCTCTGAAGGGTCCTTTCTACTGACCTAGATAGTGCTTCTATGGAATTAACCACAAAAACAAACATTTTAGGACCAAAGCTTAGAAAACAATGAACTACAGGGTGTTGGACTAGAAATGGAGATACCAGTACGAACTCGCGGACTTTCATACACCTAGACAGCTGGTGAGGAGAGTGGATGTAGGTGTGTGTGGATGGACATATGTGAGTGTGTATACATGTGTACATCTTATACATAGACCCATGGTGTGTGTAGACACTTCTTTCTTTTTTTTATCCTCACCCGAGGACACTTTTCCATTTTTTGTTCAGACAGAATGAGAGGGAGAGAGAGGAAGAGAGAGAGAGAGAGAGAGAAACATCGACGTGAAAGGGACACATCGAGTGGCTGCCACCCGCACGACCAACCAGGGCCGGGGAAAAACCACAACCGTGGTACATGCCCTTAGCGGGAACTGAACCCCGTCTCTCCGGACCGCAGGCCGACACTCTAACCGCTGAGCAAGACTGGCCAGGGCTGGACACTTATTTCCGTCAAGACGCCCCAGAAGCACAGCACACGTGTGGGCGCGTCTGGCCCAGGCCTGGGCTCCGAAGCCCCTCCCTCACCAGCAGGAGTGTGGGCCCGGCAGTGCCCTGCGCCCGGCTGGGAAATGTGGCGACGAGCCCGAGCGCGCCCTGTACAGGGAACAAGGGATCGCTTGGCGACACTGGGGCCAGCGGAAGGCACCCCTGGCCGACCCGGGGCGCTGCAGGGAGGACTGACGAGCTCCAGCCGTCGGGCACAGAGGACGGAGTCTGGACTGAGACACCAGACGGGAAAGTTCACCCTTAGATTCACACGTGTGTGAAAACGTCTATTCACTTTCTATACCAATGTTGGGTCACAGAGCCCAAGAGTGTGGGAGTCAGACAGGAGCGCAGAGAACCAATGTCCCCACAGCGACACTGTGAGCCCCAGAAATCCAATGTCCCCACAGAGAACCAATGTCCCACAGCTACACCGTGAGCCCCAGAAATCCAATGTCCCCACAGAGAACCGATGTCCCACAGCTACACCGTGAGCCCCAGAAATCCAATGTCCCCACAGAGAACCGATGTCCCACAGCTACACCGTGAGCCCCAGAAATCCAATGTCCCCACAGAGAACCAATGTCCCACAGCTACACCGTGAGCCTCAGAAATTCAATGTCCCCACAGAGAACCAATGTCCCCACAGCTACACCGTGAGCCCCAGAAATCCAATGTCCCCACAGAGAACCAATGTCCCACAGCTACACTGTGAGCCCCAGAAACCCAATGTCCCCACAGAGAACCAATGTCCCACAGCTACACCGTGAGCCCCAGAAATCCAATGTCCCACAGAGAACCAATGTCCCACAGCTACACCGTGAGCCCCAGAAATCCAATGTCCCCACAGAGAACCAATGTCCCACAGCTACACTGTGAGCCCCAGAAATCCAATGTCCCCACAGAGAACCAATGTCCCCACAGCTACACCGTGAGCCTCAGAAATCCAATGTCCCCACAGAGAACCAATGTCCCCACAGCTACACCGTGAGCCCCAGAAATCCAATGTCCCCACAGAGAACCAATGTCCCCACAGCTACACCGTGAGCCCCAGAAATCCAATGTCCCCACAGAGAACCAATGTCCCACAGCTACACTGTGAGCCCCAGAAACCCAATGTCCCCACAGAGAACCAATGTCCCACAGCTACACTGTGAGCCCCAGAAACCCAATGTCCCCACAGAGAACCAATGTCCCCAGAGCTACACCGTGAGCCCCAGAAATCCAATGTCCCCACAGAGAACCAATGTCCCACAGCTACACTGTGAGCCCCAGAAACCCAATGTCCCCACAGAGAACCAATGTCCCCACAGCTACACCGTGAGCCCCAAAAATCCAATGTCCCCACAGAGAACCAATGTCCCACAGCTACACCGTGAGCCCCAGAAATCCAATGTCCCCACAGAGAACCAATGTCCCACAGCTACACTGTGAGCCCCAGAAATCCAATGTCCCCACAGAGAACCAATGTCCCACAGCTACACCGTGAGCCCCAGAAATCCAATGTCCCCACAGAGAACCAATGTCCCCACAGCTACACCGTGAGCCCCAGAAATCCAATGTCCCCACAGAGAACCAATGTCCCACAGCTACACTGTGAGCCCCAGAAATCCAATGTCCCCACAGAGAACCAATGTCCCACAGCTACACTGTGAGCCCCAGAAATCCAATGTCCCACAGAGAACCAATGTCCCACAGCTACACTGTGAGCCTCAGAAATCCAATGTCCCCACAGAGAACCAATGTCCCACAGCTACACCGTGAGCCCCAGAAATCCAATGTCCCCACAGAGAACCAATGTCCCACAGCTACACCGTGAGCCCCAGAAATCCAATGTCCCCACAGAGAACCAATGTCCCACAGCTACACCGTGAGCCTCAGAAATCCAATGTCCCCACAGAGAACCAATGTCCCCACAGCTACACCGTGAGCCCCAGAAATCCAATGTCCCCACAGAGAACCAATGTCCCACAGCTACACCGTGAGCCCCAGAAATCCAATGTCCCCACAGAGAACCAATGTCCCACAGCTACACCGTGAGCCCCAGAAATCCAATGTCCCCACAGAGAACCAATGTCCCACAGCTACACTGTGAGCCCCAGAAATCCAATGTCCCCACAGAGAACCAATGTCCCCACAGCTACACCGTGAGCCCCAGAAGCCCACCTGAGACCCCGGCGTCCTCAGCCTGGGGGAGGTCGAGAACGCACACACATCGCACGTCCCTGGAATCTTCTGACGACTACCCCAGTCTGTTTGAATGTGTTTGGGAAACTTGCTGTTCGAAGGAGGGCCCAGGGGAAGCGCACTCATTCATTCAAGCGCACATAATGAGTGCGCCAGGCACTGAGCGAGGCCCAGAAACTAAAAGAACATCCAGACCTTGGAGCAGTGCCAAGCCCACTGGCACAGAGAATTAATTGTAGAATGAATCACGTAGGACACAGGCAGGGGAATGCGAGCGTCCTGGGCGCTCCACACTGTCCCCAGGAGGCACGGCCGTCTCAGCCGGGCAGCAGGGAGACATGCAGACGGGTGCCCGTCACGAAAGCCCGCGCCTCTGCGTGCTGAGGATGAGGGGAGAGAGACGCGTGGAGACAGGCCCACAGGAAGCGCCTTCTAAGAACCACAGGTGACGGGAGGCTGTCCTCACGCGGACAGCTGTGCTGGCAGGTTTGTAAGGGGAGCGACTTGGGAAGAAAGCTGGTGTTTGAGAAACAGCTCTGGGAGCAATGAAGACAGTGAGGTGAGAAGGAACAGAAAGATGACGTCTTTATGTGAGAGTATTATTTCTGGTGAAATCACTGTGCCTGATTTTTTGGAGTTCAGGTTTTCACATGTAACTTTAAAACAAAGCAATACCTCTTTGGAGCTGTAACTGACAGTTTAAGGGCAGATTCTCAGAGAAACTGCTCATCATAGCGGCGTAGCCTGGCTACCATGTGCCTGCACCAGAGAGAGGTACCTGCACCAGAGAGGGGTACCTACACGGGAGAGGGGGTACCTGCACCGGAGAGGGGTACCTGCACCAGAGAGGGGTACCTACACGGGAGAGGGGGTACCTGCACCGGAGAGGGGTACCTGCACCAGAGAGGGGTACCCACATGGGAGAGGGGGTACCTGACCAGAGAAGGGTACCCACACGGGAGAGGGGGTACCTGCACCGGAGAGGGGTACCCACACGGGAGAGGGGGTACCTGCACCGGAGAGGGGTACCTGCACCAGAGAGGGGTACCCACACGGGAGAGGGGTACCCACACGGGAGAGGGGGTACCTGCAACGGAGAGGCTGGGCACCGCGGCGCTGGTCAGAGGGAGGACAGGGCTGACCGTGAGGGTTGTTGCTGAGCTGCTCGTCACAAGGCTTGGCGTGGTTGCCACCTAGAGGTCACAAACAAAAATATGCAAAAGAATTTAAAAATTAAAATTAAAAAATTTAAGTCCATCTGTAGACTTATGTCGCACATAAAATTTTAAAATTCCAAGATAGAATTTAAATATTATAGACGAACAATAGAACAAAGCACCAGGGCCCAAGAGGTGATTTCATAATTCCTCCCTGGCCCTGGCATGAGACAGGCCCACGCTGAGGCCGTGCGGGGCGCGGCCCCTCCCGAGGCCGGCGACTTGGAGACCCCATCGCAGCCGTGTGGGTCGAGCACAGCACCAACCGCCACCCTGAGCTGAACGAGGACACTGTTCACCAGGATCAGCACATCTCGGCTTCCTGTCTGGTTTTATTTCTGACTCTGTGGGGACAAGACTGTTCTGTTTTTGTTCTTCATGAAATGATGTTATGCAAAGAATGTGAAACAAATTTTTAAAAAACAGACAATTTTTCTTTGAAATAACAAAATAGGTCTAGAGTTTGGGAAGAAACGCTGTCTCCTCTCTAGTACAAGTGGACAGCCACCCGCCAGAGCGGAGCTGACGGCCACCCAGGCCGTGGCCGGAGCCCACCTGCCCTCGCACCGAGTGCTGCAGCCGCAGGAGAGCCTCCTGCACGGGGCGCTGGCGCCAGGGCAGAGCAGGTGAGCCGGAGGGACCAGAAGGCCACCCAGGCCGTGGCCGGAGCCCACCTGCCCTCGCACCGAGTGCTGCAGCCGCAGGAGAGCCTCCTGCACGGGGCACTGGCGCCAGGGCAGAGCAGGTGAGCCGGAGGGACCAGAAGGCCACCCAGGCCGTGGCCGGAGCCCACCTGCCCTCGCCCTGAGTGCTGCAGCCGCAGGAGAGCCTCCTGCACAGGGCGCTGGCGCCAGGGTAGAACAGGTGAACCGGAAGGGACCAGAAAGGCCACCCAGGCTCCTGGCGCTGGGATCCTGGGTGGACGGGGCGTCCCGCTTAGTCCCCCTACAGGTCTAGGGTGTCCCGCGGGCACTGGGAAGGGTCTGTTCTGACGGGAACAGTGAGGCGTCAGTGAAGCCCCGCGGTGACGGCTACAGCACAAGGCCGGCTCTCGAGCAAAGGCCACCTGGGAACTTGCTGTCACTTGGTGGTGCGGATGTGACAAACTGGGCATTAGAATTCAACACAGATGAGAAGAGTGAGTGGTTCTTGGACAACCAGGGTCACAGCGGCCTAGAACGCAACACCGGAGAAGTCAGGGAGCCCGAGGTGGGGAGACCGGGCTGTGTGCTGGAAGCAGATGGACCAGTTCTTGGCTCAGCAACACGAAGGCCAATTACTTTGGTGACATTGACAACGTAAGTCACATACATTTATGCAACATGCACGTACATACAACGAATGCTACCAGGAAACACACGGCCGAGCGGCTCACGGGTGGAGCCAGCCCGCGCCCGCCCCATCCTCACCAGTGAGGTCGGGCTGGGGAAAATCGCTTTGATGGGCGAGCTGCTCGTCCCGCCGCTGCTGGGCGGGTTGATCCTCTTCTCCTTCTGGCGGCGGTTACAGAACCACACGCGGATCACCTCCTTCTCCATGTTGAGCTGCTCGGCGATCATGGTGATCTCCTCCGAGGTAGGCTTTTGGTTCTGCGAGGGGAGAACCGTCTGTCGGAACAGCCTGTGAACTACCGGCACAGCTGTCGTCATGTGAACACAGAGATGGGGGTGGGGCGGCAGGAGGGGGCCTGGATGCAGAGGCCCACCCCAGCAAATCGTCCACAGCACACACTCCAGGGAGCACATGTCCATTACATCTATTCCTAGTAACTCAGAATACGTTATTCTTGAATGTTTACATTCTTTTTAGTTTTAAGGGTTGCTAATCTTGAGTAAAATTAACAGTAAGTTAGTAACAAGTCAGCCTTACACACCAGCAGGAACCTGAGAGCTGGCTCAGCGCACAAATGGCAGTTGGACTGCGGGAGGCAGGCGTAGCCTCTGGGGCAGGAGACGTGTTTCTGCAGAAAGGGACGTCCGCCCAAGGGCCCAGGGGCTGACCAAGCACACAGGTCCTAGGTGGTAGACGCTAAGGACTCCTGGCCCAGTGCTCCTCCCAGGTGCTCAGGCTCTGGCTCAGTCGGAGCTGTGCTCGGGCCTCGACTGGGACGCTCCCTGGCATAAAACCCAGAGAGTCAAGTATTGTTGACTTAACGTGAACTCCCCAGCCTGGCTCTCAGGCCCTTGGTGTCCGGTCCCAGGCTGCTGCTCTAAGCAGACACTGGACGCCAAAAGCACAGCACGTGTGTGTGCTGACCCCTCCTGGCTCTCCCGCAGCCGCTGCTCTCGCACCCCTGCCCCGTCTGTGGGCTCCTGTGTCCTGTGGCAGCTGCCACCTGTCCCACGAAAGCCCGTGGATGAGCCTGCGCTCCTGGGCCCCAAGCACTCTCGTTCTGTCCCTGTCATCTTCCTTTCTCCATGACGGCGTCAGCACAGGGCCGTGGCTGACCGTGTCTAACATTACAGTGCCGCACAGATGAGCCCACGTCCAGGAAAGTGACTCCTGACCTCCAAGAAGCTCTTCTCTAAGGCCACGCGGATGTTGGTCTCTATGCTGGTGCGTTTCTTCCTCCTGCGGTTCAAGCCCTCAACCCCCTGCCCTGGAGAATTCAGGGCGCTCGGGCTGGAGAGAGCCGAATCTGACGACAGGTTCTCTGTACACAAGGAGAGAACAGGTCAGAGGAGCTGAGCGTGCTTCACACACGTACACGTACATCAACAACACAGCTGACGAGCGTCCAAGCAGTGAGCGCACGCAGAGGTCGCCGCCAGGCCGCGCTGCTGCTCTAGCTGCTGTGTCTGAGGATGGCGACTGCCCTGTCCCCACGGCCTCCGCCTTGTTTCTGAGGGACACACATCTACTCTTCTGCCGAGACTCAGGTCTCCACCTCTTCTGCGCTGTTCTTAATGTTTTGGTTTTATTTGCTTATTCATTTATTAGCTCTAGGGACAAAGGAACGCGTGTTGGAAATCGCTGCACATTCAATATTTATCTTCAAATGGTCCCTCACTTTATTAGTACACCTAGGGCGGAACTTCCTCCACAGACGGAACACTTCTCAAGTCTCAGACGTCGAAACAGCAAGGCTCCGTCACTGGCAGCCGAGTGGCCCGGCACCTCGGAGCCAGCTCTGGGCTTCTTTCCGCCCCGTGCCAGCAGGGGAAGGGCAGCGCAGCGGGTCTCACCTGTGGCGCTCAGGAAGGTTACCGGGCCACGGAATCACTGTCCAAGGGTGGGGTTCCAGGTCTATCTTTTCCAAACACCTGGTTTTGTTCCCACCTAAGTGAGAACCACCATCTAGCAGGGGTAGGAACCCTTTTTCTGCTGAGGGCCATTAGGATATTTATAACATCATTCATGGGCCACACAAAATTACCAACTTGAAGGTCAGCCTGCTCTGCTTGGTCAGGCTCAATGGAAGGTGTGTGATGCGAGCTGGCACTGGTCTCATGGGCCTTAAGCAGCCCGGGGGGCTGGACAGTCCCCGCCCCCGGAGGGATCTGCATGTGCTCTCAGTCTGTAGTTCTGACTCAAACTCCTCATTTCCCAAAAGGAAACCTCAGCACAAACACACAAGGTAAAGCTCAATTTCTCACGTATGAGATATGTGGGCATTTTAGTAGTAGAAACAGAAATGCTATCAAGAACAGGTTTACTGCCTCGGCCAGTGTGGCTCGGGGCTTAGAGCATCAGCTTGCAGACCCAAAGGTCTTGGGTTCGATTCCCAGTCAAGAGCACAAACTGGGTTGCAGGTTCAGTCCCCAGCCCATCGGGGCAGGTCCAGGAGGCAACCAATGGATGTGTTTCTCTCACGTTGATGCTTCTTTATCCCTCTCTTTCTCCCTCCCTCCCTCCCTCCCTCCCTCCCTCCCTCCCTCCCATTCTCTCTAAAAAGCAATGGAAAAATATCCTCAAGTGAGGATTTATAAAAAAAAAAGAAAAGAACAAATTTATTATAATTCATTGAGGAAGAACCAATAAACTTGTTTTTCAAGTTTATTTAAATACATAGGTCTTTTTCCCCTTCCTTCAACTGTCACTAACCCTGGCTCCAATACAAGAAATCTTCCAAAGCCAAAGGTTGTTGATTGTGTGCCCAGCAATGACTATTTAAATGAATTAGCTCTCGGGCTTATGGGACCGTAATTTACACGAATCCTCCCAAGACTGCTGCACGTCGGAATTCTATAGCCCAATTAGGCAGTAAGACATAGAAACCCCCTTTACACAACAGCACCTGCAAGGTCCCCATGGACAACGAGGCCAGCTGTCACCCAACAGCACCCACGAGGTCCCCCCGGAAAGCGAGGCCGGCTGTCACCCAACAGTACCTACAAGGTCCCCCAGGGCGCTGCTAGGCTGGCTGTCACCCACCTGAACCCCCAAGGCCCCACAGTGAGGCCCCCCCTCACCTGCATCGTTGAGCCACTTCTCCAGAAGCGGCTTTAACTTGCACATGTTCTTAAAGCTGAGGTTCAAGGCTTCGAAGCGCGAGATGGTGGTCTGGCTGAAGTCGTTTCCGTACAGTTTCCCCATCGCGAGCCCGACGTCGCCCTGCGCGACATACGGAGCAGGACGGGAGGAAGAGAGACAGTCATCTTGCTGACAGTGACGGCGACCCAACAACCAGCTCATCTGCAGCGCCCGTGGGAACGCCATCCCTGAGCTGGGCCCAACGCTCCGGTGCAGGAGCCAGGCCCTGCCCAGCACCCACCCCATGCCCCACATTCTCTCCATGTCCAGTCTCTTCTTGCACCTTACGTAACAGTCAAGATTACAAACATTTCTACTAAGTCTCAAAGGACGGTGCTGATACTCCACCAGCCCGATTCATGTCCCCAAGGTGACGTGAGTGACCGCAGATGCCTGCGGACCCGCCTCGCTGCCACAGCTGCTTCTGAGCTGCCTTCCCAGGAGCCGCTTTAAAATAGAAATGGTGCCGAGTCCGTTTTTTCCTGTAAAGTATTTCTGGAAGCATTGAAATAACCTATTTTCCACCCTTAGTTTGGATTTCAAAGTTGGCTAAAAAAACAGGTGTTCTAAAAGACCACGTTGATAACTCGAGACGCACAGCAGAGAGGTCTGACCCACTTCCAGACGTGGCTGGGCGCTGAGGCTCGGCGCCGCCCGGCAGAGCACAGCCCTGAATGCAGAGACCCGTTCCCCGCGGCGCCCTCGGCAGCACAGAGCTCGGGCCGGAGCCGCTCTGGAAGAGCCGGGAAGCCGTACCCTAACAGAGCCGTCCTATTAGACAGGTAACGCAAGCTCCTGAGCTGGAGCAACACCCTGTCACCTCCACGAGTCTGCTGACGGCAGAGAGCAGCACCGTGGGCCAGCCAGGCCCAGCTCCGGCAACACTTCCTGTGCACGGGGCTGTCCGGGGCCTCCCCTATGCTCCAGCTGGTGGACACAACACTGTTGATTCGCACCTGCGCTTGGTGGCAGTCAGGGAGTGGAAAGGACATCTTTAACCCCATTTTCTCACTGGTGAGCCACTTCTAACACACAGTCTAACAGCAGAAGTGCTAGCTCTGGACAAACACGGCGAGGAGAGACCAGACCTCCCACCTCCTACCCTGGCCGCGTCCCTGCACGAACGCCCAGCTGCGTGTGCTGTTTCGGTGGAGTTTTTCGAAGCGAGTAAACTGAACCCCAGCTCCTCAGCTCCACCAGCCAGTCACAAGTGGGGGGCGGCTACTCGGCCAGAGAGCACAAATGCAGGTCACTCCCACCATCACTGAAGCTTACCCATGGCTCTGGACAGACGTCTCCAGAACAGAAGTGACTGCTCACTGACTTCCGCCCGGTCGCAGCGAAACTAGGAGAACCGGGGCAGTGAGCAGGGATAGATGCGAACTTATCTACAGACAGGTTTGATCTGGATCGACACCTTGGTGCCCTGACTCAATCAGCAAATGCTCACTAGGTGCCAACTGCATGCCAGACGCTGAACTAGCTGGGTGCCGCTCATCTGCGCCTCGGCCACGGCATCTGTTCAGACCATCACCTTCTAGGGGACTGGGCCCCGGCCTGCAGCTCTTCGCAGGTCAGGCTGCTGCCGCAGGTGAGAGGCAGTAACGTTCAGACCATCACCTTCTAGGGGCCTGGGCCCGGCCTGCAGCTCTTCGCAGGCCAGGCTGCTGCAGCAGGTGAGAGGCAGTAAACGTTCAGACCATCACCTTCTAGGGGCCTGGGCCCCGGCCTGCAGCTCTTCGCAGGTCAGGCTGCTGCAGCAGGTGAGAGGCAGTAACGTTCAGACCATCACCTTCTAGGGGCCTGGGCCCCGGCCTGCAGCTCTTCGCAGGTCAGGCTGCTGCAGCAGGTGAGAGGCAGTAAACGTTCAGACCATCGCCTTCTAGGGGCCTGGGCCCCGGCCTGCAGCTCTTCGCAGGTCAGGCTGCTGCAGCAGGTGAGCGGCAGTAAACGTTCAGACCATCACCTTCTAGGGGCCTGGGCCCCGGCCTGCAGCTCTTCGCAGGTCAGGCTGCTGCAGCAGGTGAGCGGCAGTAAACGTTCAGACCATCACCTTCTAGGGGCCTGGGCCCCGGCCTGCAGCTCTTCGCAGGCCAGGCTGCTGCAGCAGGTGAGCGGCAGTAACGTTCAGACCATCACCTTCTAGGGGCCTGGGCCCCGGCCTGCAGCTCTTCGCAGGTCAGGCTGCTGTCGCAGGTGAGCGGCAGTAACGTTCAGACCATCGCCTTCTAGAGGACTGGGCCCCGGCCTGCAGCTCTTCGCAGGTCAGGCTGCTGTCGCAGGTGAGCGGCAGTAACGTTCAGACCATCGCCTTCTAGAGGACTGGGCCCCGGCCTGCAGCTCTTCGCAGGCCAGGCTGCTGTCGCAGGTGAGCGGCAGTAACGTTCAGACCATCGCCTTCTAGAGGACTGGGCCCGGCCTGCAGCTCTTCGCAGGTCAGGCTGCTGCCGCAGGTGAGAGGCAGTAAACGTTCAGACCATCGCCTTCTAGAGGACTGGGCCCCGGCCTGCAGCTCTTCGCAGGTCAGGCTGCTGCCGCAGGTGAGAGGCAGTAACGTTCTGACCTTGAAACTGCATAATTCGCTCACTTTCCACAAAATTCTGTATCTTCCTATGAAAAATAACAATATTGCCAACTAAACAGAAACTAAAATACTTCTTCAAAAATCACATCATAATCAGAATAAACAATGCCCTAAGTTGGTGGCTATGCCATCAATTAAGTAAAACTAGGGCAATAAATGGCAAATCCACGTGGACTTGTAACCGTCTCACTGCACGTAGAAGCTGCTCAGTGGAACACAAAGCGACAGGTCCCGCCAGTGCCCTGAGGTCCACCCCTGCGCTGGAGCGAGGCCCCGAGCTTTCGTAGCTCCTGATGGAACACAAGCGACAGGTCCCGCCAGTGCCCTGAGGTCCACCCCTGCGCTGGAGCGAGGCCCCGAGCTTCCGTAGCTCCTGATGGAACACAAGCGACAGGTCCCGCCAGCGCCCTGATGTTCGCCCCTGCGCTGGAGCGAGGCCCCGAGATTCTGTAGCTCCCTCCATGGCTCTCCCTCCAGAAGTTCGTGACGGAAGCAGCGGACTCCTGAGCTGTAATCTGAACTGTAGCGTAAGCCTCTGATATTGTTTTAAAATGCAAAAGGAAAAAAAGGAACACAGATTGCAATAGGAAATGATGGGTCCCATGAGGAAGTGTCACCCTGGCCTCTGACTCTGTAATGACAGCTGCAGTGACCCTGCAGGACTGAGGATGTGGCCGAAAACATCTAGTGACACGTAGATTCACGCAGAGGGGAGGGCGTTTTCCTCGGCCACCACCCTGAAGCTGTGTGTGCATCAGCTGGACACAAAGCAGCCTCTGAGTAGCGACACTGAGCCCACGGCATGAACACAACGGCTGATTTCCTGTCCTGCGCCGAAACGTGCTCAGTCCACGTGGTCGAGGTCTGTGCTATGTGGCCACTGCTATGTCAGTCGTTTCGAAAAATAAGGAACAGCCATGCCAAATAATAGGCTAAAACCGTGAAGGAGACCACCAGGCCACGGGGAAGCTCTTTCATATACAAGATAGAGAGACACCGACAGAGACAGACAGACAACACTGCGACATGTTGGGTCAAATGGCACAGAAGGGAAACCACTACCTGGGAAGAGCTGCAGGTTCTAACAGCCTGACGTCCCGGCACGTGGTCCGGCAGCAGCCTCCCAGGCCGCGGGCACCCTGCGCTCTGGCGGGCGGCCAAGCTCGGAGGGCCGGGCCAGCCCGACCTGCGCCAGCTCACTGCCGCACCCGCTGGTCTAGCTGTCCCTCCGCTGTCTCCTTCAGAACAAGGCACATCCTTCGATGTGTCAATGTTTCATTGTAATTTGTTTCTTCACAAACGAAACTCTATCACAGACACATAGCTGCATATTCTCTAACATTTTATCTATTTAAAAAACCATTTTTGTCCCTGATATATAATTAGTTTCTCTGAGCAACAATAAACTACCGAAGAAATACAGGGAATAAGTGTGCTGATAAAAACACGCAGAGCACAGGCAGGGTGCCGGCCCCGACCCTCCAGAACAGGCGGCGCGTCACTGTGCCGCCAAAACCATCCATGGTGGCAGTGAGTGGCGACGTGGGTGTCGAACCGCAATCAACTGTCCGGACAGGAAACACCAAGTTTGTCCTGATTCCATGAACACACCCAGTCCGATCTACACTTCAGCACTTTTGTTTTTCAGCTCATGATCTTGTATCACTTTACGTAAATGCCATTCAGTCTCCTCCGTTCCCCGCCTCAGAAGTATCACTGTGACGGGCTAACCAAGACGGAATCAAGTCCATGCTACACGCCAGACCCCGTTTCAACCACTGAGTGTGCTCGACTGTAAAAGCCCGGATACGTGGCATTAAAAATAAAACAATGGATTTGGACTTTAATTAATCTGGACTTTTCGTCTTCAACAGATTCTTACTTGATTAATGTTTCAGTTTGAGTTTACGGTGTGTGTGTGCACACGTGTGTGTGTGTGTGTGTGTGTGTGCGCGCGCACACCAGGGCATGTCTCCACTCCACCCTCCTTTCCTGAAAACTGTTCCAACAAGGCTTCCTGACACCCCTCGAGCTACTCTGCAACCTTGCAGTCTCTTCTCTCTGCCTCAAAAATCCTGCACTGAAGTCTAGAACCAGACGTTCTTCAAATAACAAAATCCTCATCCAGTCATATCATCCCCTCATAGAACCTTTCCATTTCTCACCACCATTGGTATAACTATAATTTCAGAGGGTTAGGTTCTGATAGGCTTGAGGTTTTAACCTCACATTAAATCATAGATGCATCAGCAAACACACACAGCAGCCGAACCGCAAGTGCGGGGAGAGCCAGTGCGCGCAGCAACACAGCAGCCGAACCGCAAGTGCGGGGAGAGCCAGTGCGCACAGCAACACAGCAGCCGAACTGCAGGCGCGGGGAGAGCCAGTGCGCGGCAGCAACACAGCAGCCGAATCGCAGGCGCGGGGAGAGCCAGTGCGGCAGCAACACAGCAGCCGAACCGCAAGTGCAGGGAGAGCCAGTGCGGCAGCAACACAGCAGCCGAACCGCAAGTGCGGGGAGAGCCAGTGCGGCAGCAACACAGCAGCCGAACCGCAAGTGCAGGGAGAGCTAGTGCGCGGCAGCAACACAGCAGCCGGATCGCAAGTGCGGGGAGAGCCAGTGCGCGCAGCAACACAGCAGCCGGATCGCAAGTGCAGGGAGAGCCAGTGCGGCAGCAACACAGCAGCCGAACCGCAAGCGCGGGGAGAGCCAGTGCGCGGCAGCAACACAGCAGCCGAACCGCAAGCGCGGGGAGAGCCAGTGCGCGGCAGCAACACAGCAGCCGAACCGCAAGCGCGGGGAGAGCCAGTGCGGCAGCAACACAGCAGCCGAACCGCAAGTGCAGGGAGAGCCAGTGCGCGGCAGCAACACGGCAGCCGAACCGCAAGTGCGGGGAGAGCCAGTGCGCGCAGCAACACGGCAGCCGAACCGAAAGTGCGGGGAGAGCCAGTGCGCGCAGCAAGCCGAGGGAGCCCAGGCTCGGGAGGCTCGTCTACCTGAGTGAAGCCGAGTTTGATCCGTCTTTGTTTGAAGGTCTTGGCGAACTGCTCCAACTCCTCCAGGTCACTGGGCTCCTCCAAGCTGGGCGTGTCGATGCGCTTCGGCGCGGCCTGGCTCTGCGGGAGGGTCTGGATTGGCGTTGCGGCTATTGTGCGTGTTGGGGTCGCTGGCTGTTACAGAAGGAGCGGAAGGGTAAGAACAGACACACAAAAAGGTGTTTAGGTTGCAGCTGGAACGTGCGGCAAGCAAACACCCCAGGAAACAGCTGCCTTTGGGAAGGGCTGTGAAGACCCTGCAATGGGATGTCCGTGGAGAAAAGCAGAGTGTGAATTATGTACACTGTGACCACAGTAAGGTTAAAATGTAGGTGTATGTGAGGAACTTGACTACCTAAAAATGAAACCCAGTATATTCGGGTTTTCAAATGATCTGAATACATGTATTTTATGCTTTTTAATAGATCGGTCTTCTTTCTTTGTAATCCTCACCTGTAGACATTTTTCCATTGATATTCAGATACAGTAGAAAGGGGAGTGGAAGGGAGGAAGAAAGAGACATTGATGTGAGAGAGACACATCGATTGGTAGCCTGCCGCACGATCCCAACCAGGGTTAGGGATTGAACCTGCAACCCAGGTACATGCCCTTGATCAGACTCAAACCCGAGACTCTTTGGTCCTTGGGCTGACGCTCTAACCACTAAGCCAAACCAGCCAGGGCTAAAGTGTTGTTTTAATCGAGGTATGACTGACATACAAAGCAGCTATGCAGCCCTGGCCAGTGTGGCTCCATTGTTAGAGCGTCGACCTTCTGACCAAAGGGTCGTGGGTTTGATTGCCGCTCAAGGGCATGTACCTGGGGTGCAGGCTCAATCCCTGGCCCTGGTGGGGTGTATGTGGGAGGCAATCAATTGATGTGCCTCTCTCACATTGATGTTTTTCTCTCTCCTCCCCAACCCTCCTCTCTAAAAATCAATGGGAAAAATATCCTCTGGTGAGGATAAAAAAAAACCCAAAAATCAAAAAACAACAGAACAGCTACACATCGCACTTACCCATCGCCTCCGGGTTTACTTCTTCCCTTTCACATTTTAGATCTTTCATTTTTTTACTGTTGTATTGACTTTATTGGGGTGACACTAGTTAATAAAATTATATAGGTTCACCCTGCTGGGTGGCTCAGTTGGTTGGGGCGTAGTCCCGTACGCCAAAAGGCTGCTCCTTGGATCCCAGGCCGCGCTTACGGGAGGCCCCGAGGTCTCGGTCACCCGGGTTTCTTCTCTGCCAGGTGCCTCACTTGCGTGGAGCCTTGGAGTTCGCACGCGGTGCTGACTGCACAGAGCAATGTCTTGCTCCTGCTGCACAGCCTTTGTCACGTGGCTGTGCCACATGACATGCTCCGCACCAGCTGTGCATCTGTGGCTTCCAGTGTGGCGTGATTATGAACAAGAGCACTGCGAACACTCACGTAGCGCTCGTGCGACACAAACGACTTCATTCCCAGGATCGGAAGTCCTGGGCCAAAGGTGCCCAGATAACGACTCGCGAAGGAACCGCCAGGCCGTCCTCCAAAGCGCCCGCGCCAAGCTGCAGCCCTCCGGCTGGCGAGCGCTCCCGCTGCTGCCTTCTCGGCAGCCTAGGCGTGGCCACAGTCTTTCCATTTTACAATTACATTTGTGTTTATTTTAGAGAGGAGAGAAACAGCAATGTGAGAAACACCAATAGGCCGCCTCCTGCATGCCCCCTGCTGGGAATCAAGCCCGAAACCCAGGCATGTGCCCTGACCGGGAATCGAACTGTTGACCTTTGGTGCATGGGACAATGCTCAACCACTGAGCCACCCCGGCTGGGCCGCCTGACTTTTTGGTCCGTCCTGCTCCAGTGGGTGTGCAGTGATGTCAGCACTCCCTGACGGCGAACACTTCAGGCCACCTTTTCACGTGCTACTTACTGGGCATTCACATACCTTCTTCGGTAAAGTGTCTCCACTTATTTGGCATACGCTACCCCCCTTTTAAAACAACAGGCTGTCTTATTGTTGAGTTGTATGAGCTCTTTATATATTCTGGAAACAAGTCTTATCAGATAGAAGTTTTAACAATATTTTCTTCTAGCCTGTGGCTTTTCCTTTCACTCTTTTAACAGCAGCTTTTATTTTTTGCTTGTTTCCAGCTACACTCTGGCAGAGACGAGCTAAAGCACCCTGGGAGCTGAGAGGACAGAAAAACCCAGGGTCAGAGTCTCTGCATCCCCAGAGGAAGGGCCAAGGGTGGCGTGGGTGTTCACTGGGCACCAGGCCTCTACTTCAAGTGGCGCCCTCTGCTGCAGGGGTGGAGGAGGGCAGCCAGACAGCTGGAACTCACTGCTCCCTGGCTGCTAAGTTATTCTTTATGAATATATATTAAAGGGACTCCCTGAAGATTTTCAAGACTACATCAATTCGGTAGCATTGCTCTATCAAGCTGATAAGCACAGCTTTGAATTTTTGGTCAGTTTTTGAATACTAGGATTTTTTTTTTCTTTATTGATTTGAGAGAAAGAGAAAGGGAGAGGGAGAGATAGAAACAACAATGAGAGAGAACATCGACTGGCCCCCTCCTCTATGACCCCCATTGTGGATTTGGCCCACAACCTGGGCATGTGCCCTAATCAGGAATCAAACCAGCAACCTCTTGATACATGGGTCAACGCTCAATCACTGAGACACACTGGCCAGGCTAACTAGGATTATTTTAATTAGGAGGTTTTTTGTGTGTGTGTCTTTAATTAGACACAGTCCAAAAGTCCCTTAAAGCAACAGGACAAGAGCATGAAGCCCTGTGGGAGAAAGCTCACCTGGGAGGTGAGGGTGATGCTTGGCTGCGGCTGCAGGAGGCTGGCTTGGCTTTGCTGAGGTAGTTGCGTTAAAAGGTTTTGCGCTTGCAGGAGACCTGTTAAAACACAACGCATTACGCCAGGAACACCAGGACTACCTTGAACATATGGTAAAAAAAGAATAAGACAGTGAAGTTGGAAATTCCGACTGATCTGATAGTATTATTGGCCTTAAATTCTTAATGTGTGATTTGCTTACAGTTTGATCTTGTTAATACAACTTGGGCGAGAAGACATGAAATATCAGACTAAGACTAGTATGTCGCTGGTGTGGCCAAATAACCCTCTGGTTGGAAAATTCTTCACTTTCGGGCGGAATGGATGAAAGTGAAGAAGTCATCTAAACGGAAGCAGCTTGACATGCCCAAGAGCTCCGTCTCCACCCATGACCCTCACAAAGGACCGAGAACTGTCTAGTGGTGAGGAGCGGCCACCCTCTGGGCGGGACAGGCACCGAGGAGCCGCAAGAGGCTTGGGTGGTCACAGCCCTGTCCCGACCCTCTGCCCTGACACCAATGCCAGCTTCACAGACACGGCGAACATCACTGTTGACACAATATCCAGCACGGAAAGCTGCGGAGACATCTTTTATCATCCACAAACTGCACACCGTCTAGCAGGACGCCCTCTCCTTCTCCAGCTTCAAAAGCCAGAGGATTGCTAGAAGCATGTATGTTGATACTTGGCCCACATTCCTGGACTACCTTCCCATGAAAAACTACCAGAATATCAGATGCAATTTATCCAGTTTACGCTCACCAAGTTGAGGCATTTATTCACACCTCAGGGCAAGCTCTCGGTTCCTCCTTGTGACTAGAAAGACAAACGGCAGGGAAGGACGGCCTTCAATGTTGGGTGTGCATGAAAAATCCTTTTCTTAATATAAATATTGAGTTTAAAGGTCAGTAAATGGAAGGAAACTCTGTTCTAGTGGAGGTTTCAGGGCCAGACATGCGGGGGCTTTGAGTGACAGGGTGTGAGTGACAGGCTGTGAGTGACGGGCTGTGAGTGACGGTGTGAGTGACGGGGTGTGAGTGACGGGCTGTGAGTGACGGGGTGTGAGTGATGGGCTGTGAGTGACGGGCAGTGAGTGACGGGCTGTGAGTGACGGGCTGTGAGTGACGGGCTGTGAGTGACGGGCTGTGAGTGATGGGCTGTGAGTGACGGGCTGTGAGTGACGGGGTGTGAGTGATGGGCTATGAGTGACGGGCTGTGAGTGACGGGGTGTGAGTGATGGGCTGTGAGTGACGGGCTGTGAGTGACGGGCTGTGAGTGACGGGCTGTGAGTGATGGGCTGTGAGTGATGGGCTGTGAGTGACAGGGTGTGAGTGACAGGGTGTGAGTGATGGGCTATGACAGGGTGTGAGTGACAGGGTGTGAGTGATGGGCTATGACAGGGTGTGAGTGATAGGCTGTGAGTGACAGGGTGTGAGTGACAAGCTGTGAGTGACGGGCTGTGAGTGACAAGGTGTGAGTGACGGGCTGTGAGTGATGGGCTATGATGGGCTGTGAGAGACGGGCTGTGAGTGACAGGGTGTGAGTGACGGGCTGTGAGTGACAGGGTGTGAGTGACGGGCTGTGAGTGACGGTGTGAGTGACGGGCTGTGAGTGACAGGGTGTGAGTGACGGGCTGTGAGTGACGGGCAGTGAGTGACGGGCTGTGAGTGACGGGCTGTGAGTGACGGGCTGTGAGTGACGGGCTATGACAGGGTGTGAGTGATGGGCTGTGAGTGACAGGGTGTGAGTGATGGGCTATGACAGGGTGTGAGTGACAGGATGTGAGTGATGGGCTATGACAGGGTGTGAGTGACAGGGTGTGAGTGATGGGCTATGACAGGGTGTGAGTGATAGGCTGTGAGTGACAGGGTGTGAGTGACAAGCTGTGAGTGACGGGCTGTGAGTGACAAGGTGTGAGTGACGGGCTGTGAGTGATGGGCTATGACGGGCTGTGAGAGACGGGCTGTGAGTGACAGGGTGTGAGTGACGGGCTGTGAGTGACAGGGTGTGAGTGATGGGCTGTGAGAGACGGGCTGTGAGTGACAGGGTGTGAGTGACGGGCTGTGAGTGACAGGGTGTGAGTGATGGGCTGTGAGTGACAGGGTGTGAGTGACGGGCTGTGAGTGACAGGGTGTGAGTGACGGGCTGTGAGTGACAGGGTGTGAGTGATGGGCTGTGAGTGACAGGGTGTGAGTGACGGGCTGTGAGTGACAGGGTGTGAGTGACGGGCTGTGAGTGACGGGCTGTGAGTGACAGGGTGTGAGTGACGGGCAGTGAGTGACGGGCTGTGAGTGACGGGCTGTGAGTGACGGGCTGTGAGTGACGGGGTGTGAGTGATGGGCTGTGAGTGACGGGCTGTGAGTGACGGGCTGTGAGTGACGGGGTGTGAGTGACGGGCTGTGAGTGACGGGCTGTGAGTGACGGGGTGTGAGTGATGGGCTGTGAGTGACGGGCTGTGAGTGACGGGGTGTGAGTGATGGGCTGTGAGTGACGGGCTGTGAGTGACGGGCTGTGAGTGACGGGCTGTGAGTGATGGGCTATGACAGGGTGTGAGTGATGGGCTGTGAGTGACAGGGTGTGAGTGACAGGGTGTGAGTGATGGGCTATGACAGGGTGTGAGTGACAGGGTGTGAGTGATGGGCTATGACAGGGTGTGAGTGATAGGCTGTGAGTGACAGGGTGTGAGTGACAAGCTGTGAGTGACGGGCTGTGAGTGACAAGGTGTGAGTGACGGGCTGTGAGTGATGGGCTATGATGGGCTGTGAGAGACGGGCTGTGAGTGACAGGGTGTGAGTGACGGGCTGTGAGTGACAGGGTGTGAGTGACGGGCTGTGAGTGACGGTGTGAGTGACGGGCTGTGAGTGACAGGGTGTGAGTGACGGGCTGTGAGTGACGGGCAGTGAGTGACGGGCTGTGAGTGACGGGCTGTGAGTGACGGGCTGTGAGTGACGGGCTATGACAGGGTGTGAGTGATGGGCTGTGAGTGACAGGGTGTGAGTGATGGGCTATGACAGGGTGTGAGTGACAGGGTGTGAGTGATGGGCTATGACAGGGTGTGAGTGATAGGCTGTGAGTGACAGGGTGTGAGTGACAAGCTGTGAGTGACGGGCTGTGAGTGACAAGGTGTGAGTGACGGGCTGTGAGTGATGGGCTATGACGGGCTGTGAGAGACGGGCTGTGAGTGACAGGGTGTGAGTGACGGGCTGTGAGTGACAGGGTGTGAGTGATGGGCTGTGAGTGACAGGGTGTGAGTGACGGGCTGTGAGTGACGGGCTGTGAGTGACAGGGTGTGAGTGACAGGGTGTGAGTGACGGGCTGTGAGTGACAGGGTGTGAGTGATGGGCTGTGAGTGACAGGGTGTGAGTGACGGGCTGTGAGTGACAGGGTGTGAGTGACGGGCTGTGAGTGACGGGCTGTGAGAGACGGGCTGTGAGTGACAGGGTGTGAGTGACGGGCTGTGAGTGACAGGGTGTGAGTGATGGGCTGTGAGTGACAGGGTGTGAGTGACGGGCTGTGAGTGACAGGGTGTGAGTGACGGGCTGTGAGTGACGGGCTGTGAGTGACAGGGTGTGAGTGACGGGCTGTGACAGGGTGTGAGTGACGGGCTGTGAGTGACGGGGTGTGAGTGACGGGCTGTGAGTGATGGGCTGTGAGTGACAGGGTGTGAGTGATGGGCTGTGAGTGACAGGGTGTGAGTGACGGGCTGTGAGTGACAGGGTGTGAGTGACGGGGTGTGAGTGACGGGCTGTGAATGATGGGGTGAGTGACGGGCTGTGAGTGACAGGGTGTGAGTGATGGGCTGTGGGCAGGCTGTGGACAGGCTGGGAGTGGCCGGCTGAGTGAGCGGGCTATGAGTGCCCGGTTGAGTGGCCGGCTGAGTGGCGGGCTGTGGGCGGACTTACCCTGCTGGCCCTGGGGCGGCTGTGAGATGATGAACTGTGCTGGCTGCAGGTTGGTGGTCGGATGGACCAGCACGAACTGCTGCAGGTTGAGATTCTGCTGCTGAAGTTGCTGTAGTTGCTGCAGATCCTAGAACATCAGAATTGGAACGTGGTCAGAGGCTCTGAGGTAAAAGCTCACGTAGCCCTAAGGTTTCCATACGAGGCACCCTATCCCGTGCCAATAAGGCAGGCAACACCCCCCACACGCATGTGCAGACAGAGCGCTTTGGGTGCGGTCACACAGCGGGCCAAGAAACCTCAGCCCCTACGAGGGACATTTTTTAAGAAATATGTTTTCATTGATTTTTTTTAGAGAGAGAGGAAGGGAGAGAGAGAAACATGGATGTGAGACAGAAACATCAATCGGCTGCCCCCTGCACGCCCCCACTGGGAATCGAGCCTGCAACCCAGGCATGTGCCCTGACCAGGAGCTGAACCCGGACTCTCAGTCCCTGGACAACGTCCACCACTGAGCCACCCGGCCAGCTGAGCGAGGAGGACTTGTCAGCAGATGCTGTGTCAGGACTTACACTGAGCCAAATTTTCAAGAGTGTTTTAAAATTCCCACAGAATAAATGGTTATAGTTGTGTTTTAACATGTAGAGACCAATATAGGATTTAAAAATCAACTGAGAACAGAATGTTGAGTTTCTAGAGTTGACTGATTTTTCTCTGAAGTAAAAATTGAGAGGGCTATCTGAATTTGTAAAAATAAGTGGAAAAATCTCTATGATTTCTGAAACTGAGCACCAGCTTATTGAATTAACTGAGAAATCACTGTGAAAATGTCTACGTTGTCCCCAGAAAAGTCTGGTCCAGAACAGCAGTGTCACCTTGCACCGGCCCAAGGTTTACACCATCACTGACCCTCACTTGTCTTATTGAAACAGTGTGACACAGGGTCTCCTGGCTCAGGCACGAACAACGCGTATTTGGTGATGAAGAAAGTGGCCAAGCCCTGGCCGGTTTGGCTCAGCGGTTAGAGCATCGGCCTGCGGTCTGGAGAGACCTGGGTTTGGTTCCCGCTAAGGGCATGTACCTCGGTTTGTCCCCGGCCCTGGTTGGTCGTGCGGGTGGCAGCCACTCGATGTGTTCCTTTCACATCGATGTTTCTCTCTCTCTCTCTCTGTTCCTCTCTCTCCCTCCCGCTCTACCTGAACAAAAAATGGAAAAATGTCCTCGGGTGAGGATAAAGAAAAAAAAAGAAAGTGGCCAAAATAAAAACGTTATCTTGATAAAGATTATGTGCAACAGTCATAAGATCAGTCTGGCACCCACTCCTCGCTGTCCCAGTAATTGTTCTTCTCACTGTCCAGTCAAACGCCAGCTCCCACCCGAGTCTACGTGTCAGCACCAGACCCAGAACAAGTCTTCCCAGCCTCTGCCAACAGGACACGTACCCCCTTCCTGTCCTTGGGGTGAAGGGACACGTACCACCTTCCTGTCCTTGGGGTGAAGGGACACGTGCCCTCCTCCGTCCTTGGGGTGAAGGGACACGTGCCCTCCTCTGTCCTTGGGGTGAAGGGACACGTGCCCCCTTCCTGCCCTTGGGGTGAAGGGACACGTGCCCTCCTCCGTCCTTGGGGTGAAGGGACACGTGCCCTCCTCTGTCCTTGGGGTGAGGCCCCACTCACCTTTCCTCCGAGGCCGCGCTGTCTGTGCCTCTTGAATACACTTGAATGATCTCTGGAGACTTGGCCCCAGAATGTGAAACACGAAGCCAAACAACACCCTAACGTAGTTCTGCCCATAGCGCATGTCGCTGCAGTGGAGACAATGCCCCGGCGTGCGTGTGGGTGGCGGCCCTCACCACAAGCATGCGGCAGAACCCAGGCCGGCCGTAATCAGTTAATTAAAACGGTCATCCCCTGCTTCAGACATATGCCAGCTACTTACTCAAGAACTGTCAGTTAATACAAACAGTCAGTTATTCCAAGAATCACTTACGTGTTTATAATATCAACTCAAGCAAACAAATGTATTAGTTGTGGTTCAGTGGTAAGGAAGGCTACCGCCTACCTCACCGATCAGAGCTCCGCAGGCCTGCTAACAATCAGAAAGAGCATTTCCTACTAGAGCAAAGCTGCAATCTGTTCATGTCCCGCCCCGGCTCCAAGAGGCCCCACTCACCTGTGTGATCTGTATGGGCTGCGACAGGGGGATCTGTGTCATGGGAGTGGCGGCGGAGGCGGAGATGGTGGCCCCTGCAGCGCTGTGCTGCTGGCTGGCTGAGTGTTGCTGCACGGCCGCAGCCAGCAGCTGGGCCTGGGCCTGGGCCTGCTGCAGGAGCAGCTGCTGCTGGGCCGGCGTCAGAGTCAGCTGCACAGAACAAGGACACACATTGGAAAGGACTGAGGGAGAAGGCCCTCGTTCAAGCGACTGCCCTGAAGTAGGTGGCTCGAGTGGCAGTAGACCTCAGCAATGTTCATCAGCAATCACCATCACGGGCGGAACATTTAAATAAAAATGTGGCCTCACTCCGGACTTAAGCATTCAAGCTCGCCCAGGGCCCTAGGGTTCAAGCTAGAAAGTAATTAACCAGTGAGCAAGAAGGAAAGTCAATGCTGACGGGCTGTGAAAAGAAATTCACACCCAGCAGACAGCAAGTGATTAGTCAGATGCGTGGAGATCAAGGAAGCTGGGTCTGGCCACGGGAAGGGCTGCTAAGGCCCAGCTGCCTCCCATTAGCGTGAGTCCTGCCAGGTTCCATCTTTCCCATTATGTCCGAAGATATGACCGGGGAACAGGAACGCCATTTGTTTCATTTCCCAGTCACCTTGCAGCCCCTCCCCGGCCTTCTCCATCCTTCCCTGTTACTGGAAGCAGGGTCTCTGTGACGTCCATGGCCTCTGCAACACATTCCCTGTGAACAGGTGGTCGCGCTGGGCTCCACAGGACATGGTTCCTAATGCCCAGGCTTAGCAGGAGCTCCAGCCACATGAACCTGGAGCCCCAAGCGCCCTTACTATTGTAGACACTCGCACCCCCCGCAAAGCTCCACCAGCAGCACAGAGAATGTGTTCACGGCAGCTCTGAGCTGGCTTTCCCGGTGCAGCTTATCCCCAGCGCACTTCGAGTGACGCGTTCCTCCTCCCACTGGGTGACACTCTGGTCGCACGAGGAGGAATGCTCTAATGTTCTGAGGAGCAAGTGCCGCCACTCAGCACAAACCCTCCTCCTACAGCACCCAGTACAACCTGTGCCTTGGGGACAGAATTCGAATCCATTCCCTTCGAGGTATGTTTATAGAGGCTATATACAACATACAAACATGTATTTATCTCCACTAATGGGATTTAGTAAACAATTTAGTAATAATTCTTTTTTCTTTTTATCCTCACCCGAGGATATTTTTCCATTTTTTGTACAGATAGAGTGGGAAGGAGAGAGAGGAAGGGAGAGAGAGAGAAACATTGACGTGAAGGGACACATCGAGTAGCTGCCACCCGCACGACCAACCAGGGCCGAGGACAAACTGCAACCGAAGTACGTGCCCTTAGCGGGAACCGAACCCGGGTCTCTCTGGACTGCAGGCTGACGCTCTAACCGCAGAGCCAAACTGGCCAGGGCCAATTTTGTAATAATTCTTAAAAGAGCCTTCCCCTGCCAAAACATACTTAACGAAAATGAAGAATATAAAAAATTGGGGGGGGGAGGGCTGGCTGGTCTTGCTCAGTGGTTAGCGTCGGCCTGCAGCCCAATGAGTCGCAGTTTCATTCTGGCCAAGGGCGTGTACCTCGGTTGTGGTTCGCCCAGGGCCCCAGTTGGGGTCGTGTGGGTGGCTACCAGTCAATGTGTCCTTTTCACATCAATGTTTCTCCCCCCCCCCCATCTGAAGATAAACAGAAAAATGTTCTCTGGTGAGGATTGAAAAAAAAAAATAAGGGGGGGGTGTTGATGTGATATCAATTGATTAATAAGAAACTCTTCCTTACCACTCTTCAACCCCCTCCCAAAAACATAATTTAACAGAAAAATTTCCAGCACTGGAAAAATATTTTAAATGGTGTCTTAGAGCAAAGACAGCTGAAAAGTTAAAAGTCCAGAATAGTCACATTGGCCAGTTCACTACCAACAAAACAGAATGACGTCTACTGAACGCTATGTGCCGGGCACTGTCCTGTGAGTCCCATACACACGGGTACCTGGTCTGTGCGGCGACGTTGTGGTGGGGTCAGCAGCGCCTGCACTACTGAAGGGACACCATGTGCCGGGCACTGTCCTGTGAGTTCCACACACACGGGTACCTGGTCTGTGCAGCGACACTGTGGTGGGGTCAGCAGCGTGTGCACTACTGAAGGGACGCTGAGGCCCGGGGAGGAGGTGCGTCAGCCCAGGCCGTGAGCTGAGAGCCCGAACGCCAGACCAGACGTTCCCTTTAGAACATCACACAGCAACTCAGAGCTTCTCCCTGCGGCATGACCCGTTCCTTCACGTGAGCTCTGTAGTGACGTGGAACCCAAACTGCTAACCACAACGTCATCACGCAGTCTCCTCCACGGGCCACTGCAGGGTGAAGCCACTGTGGAAATGTGGGCTTAAAAACACCCTTCATTTACCCCGAAAACTTAAGAAAAGGTCATTCCCTTTTCAGAGCTGCCTCCAGCCTGGGCCAGGTCACTGCCTCCACAGCGGGACCCAATCCGACGATGGGCAGCAGCAGGTAGAGGCCCGTCTCTCAGGAGACTTACCCCGGTTATCTGCCCTCCGGCCAGCATGAGCTGGGTCTGTGGGATGGCTGCCTGCACTGAAGGCTGCTGGGAAGGCTGGCTTGGCTGCTGGGAGTCCCCCGACTCTTCATTCGCTTTAGACTAAAAGTGGGAGGGAATCAAGAGATTTCAAATCGTTCATGAAAAGAAATGTACTTATAACTCCGTATTTCAAGAAGTATTTAAAACATGATTCATTCAGTCATGAGTTTTCTAGTTTCACTCTTTTCCTCTCTTATAAATCTTTGTATTTTCCTAATTTTATATAAGTTTTCAGATTTTTTTGTTTCAATGCCAGCAAAGCTGCACTTATAATTTTTAAGCAGAAAAAATAATTTGACCCTCCACAAATCAACGGAATTCACCCAAATCCTGCCCTCCGGGAAGTGGGGGTACACCTGCCCTCTCGACCTCAATGCCTCAGCCGCGGTCCCACAGGATCTGGGGCCGTCTGGACTCGCTGTCCCGAGTGCCCCCTGGCACAGGCCCTCCTCTGACGCGGAAAGAATGGGACTGCGCTCCGCCCGTCCAGGGGCAGCTCTTAGAGGGGACGCTGCAGTCAGAAGGGAGAGGGCTCTGCGGGGCTCTGAAGTTCTGCACAGATCTGCATATTTCCCACCACCTGTTTCGGGGACTGCAGCAAGGCTAATTAGCACGGAGGCTCTGATGAACCTGCCAGTCAGTGAGAGATAATTATAGGGCAGGACTGTAAACACTAGGCACTGGTGGTGCAGCCTGTTTGCCAACATCGCTAAGGGATGAAAGTTCACCATGGCAACCGAGGGGCTTTCCTGCCTCCTCTGCCTCAGAAAGTAAGGGCACATTCTCTCCCTCTGGCTTCCCTCCTTGTTTCCCTGGTTACTGGTCCATACTGAAGCCACTGGGCTTCACGGGATGCTCAACCCAAGGTCTTCAGTCATTAGCAACACTGAAGCCAATCTTCCAGAACATGTTTCCCTCCTGACTGGGAGCTACCTAAACACCGAGGAAAGGGCGCAGCAGGTCGGCGGAGTGTCAGGGAGCCGCCCACAGCCCTGACCTTGGCATGCTTTTGCTGTGTGCCTCGTGAAGCAATGCAACCAGGGTTAAGTTTGGTCTTAAACTGTGCCTGTCTGAGCCCATTAGCATATAAACAGGGTCCTCGCAAGCTCAGAGCTGTAACATTTCGGGGCAGAGGAACCCGGGATCCCAGGTAAGCGTCCACGAGCCGGCAGGGAGTGGCGCGCCCAGGCACGCAGCAGCTGGCAGAGTGAGAATCAAGTCAAGGCTGTCTCAGCCTGGCTGGTCCCTCTGCGCCAGAGGGTGTCTGCGAGACGTGGCAAGGACCAGCAGAAAGACATTTGGAAACAGAAGGGCATTTAGGACATTCTTCGGCCTTGTGTTCAGGATGTGCCACGGCCGTGCGGCGCGGGGGCCTCTCCCTGGGCTCACACATGGAGCGGCTCTTCCACTCGCTCGGGCCGTCGGGCAGCCGCAGTGTGAGTCCGTCCTCATTAACGGCAACAACTAGCGTTACTGAGTCCTCTGGAGTCAGTGATAGAGAAAGGAGCTACTCCTAAGCATTTCCTGTTATAAATTACTGATGCTCCTTATATGAAATTGGAAAAACATGGGAAAGTGGAAAACTGCCCCATAAGCCCATGGGCCAGCTTACCTGTACATTTAAGGACTGAGCAGCAGCCTGTAAACCTGTCCCAGAGAGCTGGACCTGCAAGGAAGTGACCAGGACATCAGGGTCTAACTGCTGACGCCATCATTCAAGCTGTCATCAACAGGGACTTTACAAGTCGCTACCAAGTGTGCCATGGAGCTAGGGCTGGGTCTACAAAGGATTTATCTTCTGGGTTAGAACTGCAGACAATCTCACACTCCCTCCACCTCCCACCAGAAAATGTTCCTCCGTGCTTTCTAGAGGGTGCTCCCTACACTAAGTTAGCACACCAGGACACCACACTCATATCAGACATTCGCTTGCATGCATAGACACGGAGATCTAAAAACTTAATTCATCTTATACACTGTCTTCAAGAACACGTAAGAACAAACTACTTACGTGCATTATTTTTACCATTACAAACTACCAGAATTATCTGCTCATTCTCATTTGAAAATTTCCATGTATACGCCAGAGTAAAAATCTTACCTATGTGCACACCACAGGCGAGTCTTTAAGACATTTAAGTCACCACTTAAAGCTCCTGGCTGAGAGGAGGGGCTGCTCTATGAGCACACATGAACGGCTCAACCATTTCACACTCGCTTTCATACGTTCAGAACTTCCAGCCACCGTGATATTAAAATAAGGACCACCACCTGGACTGTGATAAATAACCGATTCAAGCAATATCGTCAATGGAGGAATAATGTGATAACAAATTCTGAGTCATCTCTCCAAAAATACTTATTAATTACTAGGGGAAAACAGTGACTTTATCCTGGGGAACCGGAAGAGAGTGATCACGGTTAAGTTACCAGCAAGGACATGCGTGCCTCTGGCATGATGCACTAGGAAGAAAACGGCATGACCTATGTTGTACTCCTAGCAAGAGAAACTAATCTAATCATGACGAACATCAGACAAACTCGAACTGAGCCACACTTCACAAAGTAACTGGTGTGTACTCTTCAAACACGTTGTCCTGAAAACAAGGAAGACACCCGGGCAAGCTCCTGGGAGCCTCCGCAGCCGGCCGGCTCCTGAGCAGCGGGCCGCACTGCCAGGACGCGGAGGACTGAGCCCTGGCCGCACCCAGGGGGGGAGGAGTCGCAGGCTGTCCAGGCTCGGATCTGGACGACTGGAGAAGCGGCAGTGCCACTGGCAGGGCCGTGGACAGGCCGCCCGGGGGCAAGGCCCCTGCAGCCAGACACTGGAGTGGCGTGGGGCTCGGCGCAGGTTCGGAGCTGGGGCTCTGACGGACCGCTACGTCCTTTATTTAAAACTGACCATCCCCAAAACAAACTCATAGACAGAGAGCAGACTGCTGGTTACTGGAGGGAAGGGGCCAACTGTGGCGAAAGGTGGTAGCTAGACTTTTGGTGCTGATCACCTGGCACACAGATGTGAATTACAACGTTCTACACAGGGAAAGTTTCATACCAACTGTACCTCGAATAAAACACAAGCCTTGCCCTGGCCGGTTTGGCTCAGCGGGTAGAGCGTCGGCCGAAGGTCCAGAGAGACCCGGGTTCAGTTCCCGCTAAGGGCGCGTATCTCGGTTGCAGTCTGTCCCCGGCCCTGGATGGGTCGTGCAGGTGGCAGCCACTTGATGTGTCCCTTTCACGTCGATGCTTCTCTCTCTCTCTCTCCCTCCCACTCTCTCCGAACAAAAAATGGAAAAATGTCCTCAGGTGAGGATTAAAAAAAGAAAAAACAACCTCTGATAGTCCCACAAGTAGATGAGAAACCTCAAAAATAAAACCCAAAGCAAAGAATCCAGAGATTGTTACAAAGAACACATTTCAGATAGCGTGCAACCTGACAGGACTCCCCGAAAAGGTCCAATGCTACGACCCGAAGCTAAAAGCCCGCCCGAGCCAGAGGGAAGGGGTCCAGGCAGAGGGTCAGAGGAGACACGGCTCCAGCGCCCTGCCCCACGGCCCCACCTCCTCACCCCCTCCGCTCCGACCACGCCCTCGGCCTAGCTCTGTCTTTCATGACGGGACCTTTTTATTTCCTTGTTCGTTTTTGTTTTGTTTTGTTAATCCTCACCAGAGGATATTTTTCCATTAACTTCTGATTTTTAGATAGAGTGGAAGGAGGGGGAGGGAGGAAGGGCAGAGAGAGAAAGAGAAACATCGACGTGAGAGATATGAGAGACACACGTCAGTTGGTTGCCTCCCAAACAGGGATCGAACCTGCTACCCAGATACATGCCCTTGACCAGGAATCAAACCCTCGAACCTCCAGTCCTCAGGCCGACACCCTAACCGCTGAGCCAAAGCGGCCAGGGCGACAGGGACACGTCTGCGAAGCAGGGACCAGCTGTTCCACAGAAGGCCTTCGACCTGCGGTTGCTGGACTGTCCTCACGGCAGAACTCACGTTCGCCTTGTCGGGACGACAGTGGACGGCCCCTGACATCAGCTCGTCCCAGCACTGCGAGAGGAGGTGTGGTCACTGAAGTAAGATGGGTTCCATCTGTCCTCCTTGCAGGCAGTGAATGCGCTGGAGGAGGTGCTCTAAGACGTGTGAATATTCTGCTCCTCAGTACACTTTCACCCACAAACAACACGATCGAGGCGCAGTCACACAGAAACCATCGAGCGGAGGCTCTGACCATTCTGCCCCGTGAAATCGGTCTGAGCTGAACACGGGGAGCCGAGTCGGGCGCACGAGCCTGCTAGGCAGGCCTCAGGCATGGTGGCTGCATCTTCTGGGTGACTTTGTAATCGCAACCTTCAGAGAGCCACAGACACACACGCACAGAAACAGTCACCCAGCTTTAGACACCTTCCACTCAAAACATGAACTTGCTTATTTTCCTATAGCTGTGGGGTCAAAAGCTATGCGGTCAACTCAACTACAGGACTGTGGACAAGCCCTTCAGAATGACATGATTAGATGTGTTAGGACCAGGCTCAATTGATGTAAAGTCCTAACCCTGAAAGGACTGCCCAGGGCCCAGCCCCATGCCCCCTTCACAGAGCAGAACACCTACCTGGTGGAGGTGTCCAAAGAAAGCCTGGGCCTGGGCTGTCGAGATGGCCCCTCCGACGGGCACGGGCTGCTTCTGGAAGTCCAGACCGTTCGCCTGCGCGCCTGGAGAGCAAGCACAGGAGCGTCACCCTCCGGCGGCACTGCGGCACATCTCGCCCCAGCAGGACAGCACGGCACAGAGAGGGAGGTGCCAATGCTGGCAAGGTGTGGGGAGGCCGCGACCCCTGCGCCTGGTTTTGTAGCAGTGAAGTGGGTCCGCCGCTGTGAAAGAGCTTGGCGGGTCTTCAGAGTTCCTACTGGCCCATCGACCCCACCGCCAGGCATACTCTCCAAGGGACGGAAAACAGGAGCCCGAGTCCTTGGCCATGGATGCTCACGGCAGCGCTATCATGGTCACACAGCCACAAGGTGGGAACAACCCAGAAGTGCTTCGACAGCTGACCAGATAAATACACTGTGGCATACACACGCTGTGGAGTAGTATTCAGCCATAAAGAGGAATAAAGTACCAACTCAGGCTACAGTGTGAACAAACTGAGAACACGACACTAAGGAAGGAAGCCAGGCACAAAACGTCACATGTGCAGGATCCCAATGTCTGAGATGTCCTGCACAGGTATGTTCATGGAAACAACACAGTGGTGTTGCCAGGGGCGGGGGAGGGGAACACGGGAGCTCAGTGGGTGAGGAAACGTTTTAGAACTAGACAGAGGCGGTGCTTGCCCAGCACAATGAATGTACCAAATGCTGCCGAACTGTCCACTTTAAATGGTTAATTTTATGTCACATGCATTTCAACTCAACTGAAACCAAAACAAAAACACAAAGGAACCTGCAGCCCAGGACCATCTGCCAGCACGGCCCCTGCCTGCAGAGCCAGCTCGCCTCGCACTGGCCACGCGCCCCTGCCGTCGGCCACGGCGCGTGCGGCACCAGGAAAAGCACGGTTCCTGACCGCAGGCCCCAGGTTCTGGAACGTGAAGTTGGTAAAAGCTGTTTTTCATCGCTCAGCAGCTATATGTCGGATAATACTTTACCACATTTTCATCTGTAATAAAAATCATATACTCCTACTTCAATTAAACTTATGTAATTTAAAAAAGTACATTCTTAAACAGATTTCTATTTGTCAGTAAATTTAAGTTGGTCAAAGTGAAATTTACCAACCATAGCCTAAATTTCAGATGCCGCAAGGAAAATAACGACAGTACCTGGGCCTGTCACTCCGTCACCCTGACATGCATGCACAACTTCGAGATGAAGTGCACGGACAGCCAAGCAGCTGCGCAGGTGACTGACAGAAGTCGCAGCTGAGACGTCCAGGAAGCACGGCCTCTGCTCGGCGGGACAGTGTGTCTGTCAGGTGAGCCGTCACGGCGGGAGACCGGGGACAATGGACACCCAGGAAGACAATCACTGTGAAAGCGGAAGGACAGCCGCAGAGGCACGTGGACCACCGTGGACGGTGAGGATGGCACCTGTCAGCACTGCGGCTGTCCCTCCGCGCCTTCCGCGTCCCGGGCAAGGGCCTGTTTCTCATTCTGCGTCAGTCACCTGGCGACGTCTGTGCCATTAGTGATGCCCGACAAGAGTCCTAGGAGCGGTTAACGCTGGTTGAATTAGTAAGTCTGTCTGGATGCAAGGGACTATCAAAACAGATTTTAGTTAACTTTATTCTCAACTGTAGAAAAACGAATGACTTGTGACCTACCAGCGATTGTGACCAAGTCTTTTTCAAATAACTTAGACGTGCCACACGAAGGGAATACTTCGAGGACCAAGAAAAGCAGAGAGAAAGTCCTTATTCTAAAATTCTAACATTATATAAACATTTTCATTGGTAAAAAAAATTTCTATCAAACATGCACTCTGCTGGGTCCTTCCCCTGCCTCCTCACCGAGCCACGAGCCCTCCTCGTCTGCACCTTTGAGGCGTGAGCCAGTTACACGGTGGAGCCCCGCCTGCTCCAGGAACACAGAGCAGCCCCCGGGAGCTGCAGGAACGCCTCGTCCTCTGATTTCATCTGCTGTCAGGGCTCCCAGCTTGAACTGTGACCCTTTGCTGCCAATCCTGCCTGTACTGTCTGTCTGGGTGACCGGCCACTCCTGGGTGTCCTTCTGCCTCTGCTCCTGGTCTCATTTCCCAGCTTCGCGAGGACTTCCCTGACTGCCTCTGCCCCTGCCCGTCTACTGTGCGTCCTTCCACCTGGAACTGACTGGCCTGGACCCGCCGTCTCCATCGGCCTTCACCCGCCACTCTCCCGTCTCTCTGCCTTAAGCGGGAGCTTGCTCTGCTCAGCGGCCCCAGCCAGGGCGGAGTGCAGCACCTTCCTTGTGTTTGCTATCCCCTCCCCGTCCTAGCACTGACACAGCTCTGACCGAGCGGACTGAGCTCCCCACGCCCGTGCACACGTCAGTTCCAGGCAAGGGGTCATCACGGCTCGTCTCTATCTCATGACCATGGAAACTGCACAGAGAGAAATGACCTGCCCAAGGTGACACACTGCAGCCAGTGTGGGACCAGGGTCTGAGCCCAGGATGTCTGGTCCAGGGCCTGAGCTCTCAGCCACTAGCTACACAGCTTCCCTTCCGAGAGTCACCTGAACGTGTCACGCCCCTTCCTCCACCATTTATTTCTCTCCACAGCAATTTCTTTCCCTGTCACTTACCTAAAACCCTTCAAAGGTCCCCAGTAACTGCTGTCAACCCCACACGTCACATTTTAGGATTCCTATGTCCTGACCCTCTTCAGGACCAGAGGACCCTGATCGCTAAGGCCATGAGCAAGCGGCCGGCTTTGCTCTGATCTCTGCAGGGCCCCACCCTGGTCTACCGCAGCCCTGTCTAGTGGGCATTTCTGTGATGCTGGAACTGCTTTATGGATGTGCTGACCAATATGGAAGCCGCTGACCACAGGTGGCTGCTGACCACCAGCAGTGTGGCTCGAGACTGAGCTTCGTGGCCTCCTGCTGGGCAGTGCGGGCACTGCAGGCTCCAGTGCCAGGCCCTGGCAGCGGGCAGAAGAGCTGTCCTTGGTCCTTACTCCGCTCTTCCAGCAGCCGGTTCCATACAAGACTTGCACAGCCATCCATGCAGCCCAGACCTTTCCTCAGGAACATCTCTACCTCCAACAGGTCACTTCTCCACCTGCAAGTACCACGGGGCACCCACGCGCCCCACTTCAGAACCAATGCGCCACTTCCTCGTTGAGTCTCTACACCTCGGCAACCCCTACGCAGGGACCGGATGGCAGGCACCACACCAGCCTGATCCAGACGGAAAGGCAGGTCTTCACTTGACACCCCCTTTTCCTCTTTCGATCCTTACTCCCCGTCAGTGCCCCCCCCCCCCCGACTCACTAACCTGACCCGGTGCCCTCTGCCACTGCTCTAGGCCAGGGTGCAGCACAGTGGACCTGACAGGCTGATCAAGTCCAGAGTCTGTGTGTCAGGCCAGAGGGGAAGTATAACATGGCCGGAAGATTCTCTTACACTTGTTAGAGAAGGGTCACAGGAAAGCTGCCCCGAGGGAAGAGAGAAAAGTAGGACAATCTCGCCCTCCGTGTGTTGGGCAGCCTTTCAGAAACAAACCCTTACCAGGGCCCAAATTCCACTGTAAAATGGCCGGTACCTTAAAAACCCTAAACGTGTGGCCGGGTCATCTCCTGGTGAGAGTCGACTGCTCGCTCACTCACTCACTTAACAAAAGTATGACCTCAACTCAAATGCTGCTTAGCATCTCAGATTTCATGAGTATAGCTCCCTGCCCCAAACCCGGACAATCAAACCCGCAGACGCACCCACGGGCGGGGCCAGGCGCGCTCTTCCTGTGCAGTGTGGAGTCTCCTAGAGGCCACGCCCTGTGGCTGTCACCTGTGTCCCTGTGCTCCAGGGCTCCCTCCAGAATGCCCAGCTGGCGTCCACGGCCCTCGGAACCACCCACTATTTAACGTCACCCTGAGGAACTCCGAGGAAACTCCTGTCGGACTCCACCCTCAGGCCGGAGAGCACTTGGGCCAGCAGGGAACGCAGTCCGCACAGTCGACCTTGTAATGAACTGCAATGAACCTGACAGGCCAAGAGACATCAGAAACAGCCCCTGACAAACACGCGCAAAGGCAAAGCAGCCCGTCCACGGCAGATCCCGGCCACCCCCTGCTGGGATGAGCACTTCATGTGAGGTCTGCTCCGTAGAGAATTTCTGAGGCTCCTCCTGAAACCGCTGCTATTTTATCTGAAAATGCCTCAAACAAGTGCTGGCCAAGATCTCAGGGCTCTACGGTCCTGTGAGGAGCAGCAGGACGCTCACGGGCGCCCGGGCAACCACCACCCTCCTCTCCCGGAGACAGTGACGTCTGGCCACCGCCCGGACAAACCGCACAGGGCAACACAGCACTGGTGCTGGGAGCGGTGACCGCCACGACTTTGGAATGTATGTCATATGTATGTGTTAGGTTGTGCCGATACGTTTCCTTGGCCTTTACAGTCTCCAGAAAAATCTTGATGTTATCCTGGGAAAAATCATCTGAATGAAAAATCAAGTGGCCTGGCTGGTTTGGCTCAGCGGTTAGAGCGTCGGCCTGCGGCCCAGAGACCCTGGTTCGGTTCCCGCTAAGGGCATGTACCTCGGTTGCAGTTTGTCCCCAGCCCTGGTCGGTCGTGTGGGTGGCAGCCACTTGATGTGTCCCTTTCACGTCGATGTTTCTCTCTCCCTCTCCCCCTCCTACTCCATCTGAACAAAAAACAAACAAAAAAGGAAAAATGTCCTCCTGTGAGGATAAAAAAAGAAAAATCAAGTGAACAGGATGAGATAGGAGAGCCTTATTCTATTGTAATTAGGATGAAAAAAGACACATTTAATTTACTACCAACTCAATGAATCAACAGGTGAGTCAGTTGTTTTAAAATAAGTTTTAAGTCCAGCCGGTGTGGCTCAGTGGTTGAGCATCGACCCACACACGGAGAGGTCGCCAGTTCGATTCCTAGTCAGGGCACATGCCCAGGTTGTGGGCCAAATCCCCAGTGGGGCATGCAGGAGGCAGCCCATCCATGTTCTCTCTCATCGATGTTTCTATCTCTCCCCCTCTCCCTTCCTCTTTATCTA